CCCCCCCCTTTTTCTCCCCAACACGCTCCCCCCCAGATCCAAGGGAAGGACCCTACATTTTGGATGAGCCACTACAACGAGGCCGAGGCCACTCCCTGACCCCCCCTTCCTCAATCCTGGGACCCCTCCCCAAAATAAAGGTGCCCTTTTGGGGTGCAGCCCCCCAATCTCCAGGCTCAGTGCTTCGTTAAGGCAAGGTTTAATTGGGGGGGGACACACGCACACCCTTCAATAGTGCTCGGGGACGGTGACCAGGGCTTCGGCCGGAGGGCGGCTGATGTCGACGTTCTGGCGGGGCGAAGAGGTGGCGTTTTAGGAGGGCGTCCCCAATCTCTGGAGAAGGGGGTAGGGAAACTCTTACGCCCCTTTTTGGGGTGCCTCAGTGTTTTTGGGGGGGTGGGGGGACACGTCTTACCTGGGGTCGCTCCCGGTGGGTGTTGACCGCTTCGATGTTGAGGAAGATGGATTCCACCTCGCACCCTGGCTCCCCGGGGAGGGAGGAAGAACACGGTGGCTACAGCTTGGGGGGACGACAAGCCCCCTTTTGAGGGGGATCGTCCCCATTTTGGGGGTACGCACGGGACAACGGGCCCCCATTTTTGGCGGGGGACACTCACCGTACGCGACGGGGGTCAGCTTGAGCACCGTGTGGAGGGGACACTTGAGGTAGGGCAGCTCATCTTGTTGGGAGGGAGAGACGTGATTGAGAGGGGACGATGGCGGGTGTGGGGGTGTCCCCAAAACCTCCCTAATTCTCCCCAAAACCTTACCCGCGCTCTTATCCAGGAAATAAGCCAGCAGGCAGCGCATGACAGCTTGGTGGCAGATGACCAAGACGTTCTCCTGCCGCTCCAGCTCCATGATGACGGGCTCCAACCGCTGCACCAGGTCTTCGTAGGACTGGAAAGGATTGGGGTGAGGGGTCCCCCAAAATGCTGCGTACCCCACTCTCCGCCGTCGTGGCGGGGAAGGAGAAGGGGGTTACCTCGCCCTTGGGGTAGCGGTAGCGGTATTTGTCCTGGTCGCGTAAGGCGAATTCTTGGGGGTAGCGCTCCTGGATCTCCTCGTAGGTCATCTCCTCGCAGACGCCCTGAGGGGTGTTGGGGAGGTTTAGGGGGGAAGATTGGGGGGGAGTGACCCCCAAAACCCCCATTTCTGCCCCCCCTCCCCCCAAAAAAAGGGGTGACTGACGGCGTCGATCTCGTTGAGGGCCTTCCACTGCTCGTAGGGCACCCCCAGGGCCTCGGCCGTCTCGATGGTGCGTTTCATGTGGCTGGTCCAGACCTTCAGCTCCCGGATGCTCTGGCTGCGGATGAACTGGGCCAGGGCCTGGGCGTACTGGGAGGGAGAAGGGGAGGGGGCAAGGGGGGGCA